GTATATATTTTGACATTATTAAATAAAATGACAGACATCATAGCAGTCATTATTGAAGGGAAGTTTCCCATCACATTTAAACTTTAATTAATTTGAACCTCCGTATTTACAATAAAATATAACTTCACTGCTGTTTCATTCCTGTTTCATTCCACTTGATTTATTGAATAGTCACAAGTGTTTTCCTATGTATTGTTGTTTTAAAAAAAGTCTGTTTAACAACCTGTTAAGGCGCCACTGACCAGGGGTACGTTTACCCCTTGTGGTACGCAAGCATATTACAGGGGGTATGTGGAAAAATTTCCCAGGCGTGTAAAGAAGTTAATAAAAAAAATAGGACAGATATATAAGTCCTTATGATTTCCGAGACAGAATTGCGGAATTGACAAAACAAAATGGAATCCAGTATTAAACGTGGAATCTCACTGAATTTGCTCATTTGGGTGAGTTTCTGATGTATTTTGGACAATACTGTGTGTTTTGGATGCTGCTTCCTGTACTTGTACACTTTAATCTTAATTTTATTACTTATTCACTTTCAGGGCAACATACTTATCTTTATGTTTAATTTGAGTTGAAAAGAATAAAATACCAGAGAATTAAATGTTCTAGTTTATGGGGTTACATTAATGATTTTCATTTCATAATCAGTTGTAGTACATTATAGTTTTGGAGAATTGTCATTACGTTTGACTGAGGGGTACTAAAGGGTTGAGAACCACTGCCCCACTGGATGCATTCTATAGGTAAACATTGTCTGTGCAAAAATAAAAACCATTTMACTGAAGTTAGGGAAACAGTGCCATATTTATTTTTATCGTTTTGTCTCAAAGAATAGCTTGGATCATGCTCTCACTGAGATAATCCAGTTTGATGATGTTATCAATCRCACACAGATGAATGTCTCTGGAGCACAAGCATTTATTAACACATTTTGGTCAAATCCAGGCATTAATTTATTGGGCTTTTGTTATCAGAAGAAAAACCAATACCGATACGTAGAGATTTGACAATTTTATACTATAATCAGACCAATAATATCTGTAGGCCGATATTATTGGTTATATACATTGTATATAGATAGATAGATAGATAGATAGATAGATAGATAGATAGATAGATAGATAGATAGATAGATAGATAGATAGATAGATAGATAGA